ATAATAATAATAATAAAAATAATAATAATAATAATAATAATAATAATAATAATATAAAAGAACTGTTCCTTAATAATTTCTGTCGATTAAAATGTTATAAAAATTAAAATTTTTGTTTAACTGTCGTCATCGCTTTTTTGATAGTAAAAATTTTTAATTATTTGATTGTTTATAACAAAAAATATTAAATCTGTATACCTTTTATGGTATTTTCAAAAGATAAACATTTTCAGTACACTCCAGTACAACATATATATAAAACATCATTTTATACAAATATTTACATATGTTTAAACATCAGTCTAAACACTTATTTTGGAAGAAATTAATCAGATTTTTTTACTGCTGAAAAATATCGATGACATCGTAGTTTTGATGTTTCACCCGAATATGCTTACGTACATCGGTCTTGATTTTGCACAAGTAATCGCAGTAGGGACATTTGAACCTGGGCTGCTGGCCACATTGGTAACGAAGGTGACTTATCAAATTCTTTTTCCACGCAAAGACACTTCGGCAATTCGGATTAGGACACGGAATCTTGATTGACTTCATACGCTTCAGTCTCTTAGTGCGATAGGCTGGCGATAGGCACTGCGTGGATTCTTTATCTGAAAAAGTAACGACTCGTTGGCGATAAAATGCTCATCGAAACTCGTGCGAAAAGGCAGAGTATATGCCGCTAATTTCCTGAAACCTTGAACGAGAAAATGTCATTTTGTGCACAAAATCACAAATAATTACTTTAAACGAAATCCTTTCCGTGTAGATTTCTTTCTTCTTTCTTTTTGAAACTTAAAATCGCAATTCTTAGGTCATTGAACAGCCGGGACCACATAAGGTACATCATTTTATAATTAGACTATTTTATATTTAGATGTTCATCACACATGCAACATTCTCACTAGGCTGTGTTTGAAAGCGAATAAAACGCGAATGTGCATTTATTTTTATATGTTTATTCATCTAATCATTTCAATATTTCTGCGTATTTCTAAGTACAATTTTGATCGAGTACTCGAAAGCACATGCAGCTTTTTTAATAGACTTGGCATTACAACGACACGATCACTAATATTACCTTGCAATCCGGGGAGATAGACAATCAGAAAAAAGTATAGATTGAAGCCAAAGTCGCATAGATTCATGAATCTATAGAACAGACAGATTTATTTATTTATCGATAAACGAAAGAAAAATGCGCAGCTAGTGCTTATTAATCATGTCGCACTTATACTGTCCCTTGAAACAAATCAACAACATAAATCTTCCGATTATTGTGTCTGCGGAGGAGATGCTTGCTGACATTGCCCTTGAGTTTGCCGTAATAATCACAGTAAGGGCATTTGAAGCGCGGCTGGAGGCCGCATTCGTACTTCAGATGCCGTGTTAAATTTCTCTTCCAGTTGAAGACGCGACCGCAATTATGATTCGGGCAAGGGAATCTGATACTAGCGTCGGCATCGCTGGAGAACGATTTGCTGAAGGCTTTAAAAGATCCATTAACATCTGTAAGCAAAAAAAACAGACAGAGCGCCCAGTCAGTCCTACGCAAAGTCCTTCAAGATAACATGCCGAAGAAACCGATCGTTTCATCACGAAGAAATGAAGAATAACAAACACGTAAAATAAGAATGAGTTGATAAATAAAGATGTAGCAACGTAAAAGTAAAATATTTGATGTTTATGAACATCACACTTAATACATTTATCCATTAAATTTTGCATGGAAAAAGTATCTTCAGATCCAAAATGCAATCAGAACATCACATAATAATTAACCATTAGTCGTGTTTTTTCATTAAATCTCATCACCTCACGTTTAAATAAAAATCGTAATATATATTTACCTGCAAAATCAATACATCTGAAAAAAGAAATTATTAGCGACTTATGACTTGCTACGCACTTATATGAAAATATGAAATAATAACATCAAAAAGATCATTTTCTTGATTACATTATTCTGAAAAAGGACAGAATGTAGGAAATTGTGGAAATTAATAAGGAAATTTAAGGAGGATAAAGATAATTTCTATTTTTTTTTGTATAAGAAATAATTTCACACAAAACATCAGAAGTATTGAAAGATCAAAGAATTAATATCTAAATATTACAAACATCAATATTACATACATATGTTTCTGTTTATTATAAACTTTTTAATTATTTAATATTATTTACGTTTTAAAAAATATAAACTGAAATGAAATTAAAATTATTTATTTAAAAAAAAATCTAATCTTCGTCTTCATTGATATGATAATCTCAATTGTACAACATATCAAATGCACACATTCTTGCATAATAACAAGAAACGTAAAAGTTTCACGAGATTGCTCTACGCAAGACAAGAATTCTTGAAGATGTCTATAATGCAGATTACGATGTTTTTATGTTTCCTGGTAATGTATTTGTGCTGTTAGCTTAATACGTACAATAAAAATATTTGAAATATAGCACTGATAATACATATTTGAGATGCCCATTTCATTTCTTTTCCATTTGAAAACTCTAGTGCTATGAAAATTAAGAATAAAAAATTCTTTTAATTCCTTTTAACTTAAGAACATATAATGTAGCATTATAATTGTCGCGTACCAGTTTGAAAAGAATTTCTATATAGATACTTCTATAAGTCAAATATTTTGGCACTTATACTTGACAAAAGAACATTATACGTAGAATAGATTCTAAGGTAATAAGAAAATTAGACTTGATTCTTCTAAATATTGTTCTGTCACACTGCAATCATATATGTTTAAAGAAATCTGTACACATAATTTAATCTAAAAGTAATTGCAAGTTTAAGTAATCTCATTTTATTGATATTCTTATATCTTAAATTACATGCATAATCGTTAAAAAATGATAATCGCAGAATAATATATGTAAATTCATAGACGAAAATAGAAGACAAAACATTCATAATCATTCATTCAATATTAATTCGAAATTATATAAATTTAATTTATAAGATACAAGTCTAAATTGAATATATTACAAATACCTGTTCTTATATTTTTGCGATATATATAGTTTTGATTTCTAAAAATATTAATCCTTTATCTTTCCATAAAATATTAATAATAATAATTTTTTGGATATTTCTTTACATTAGGGGATACCTTTTTGATGACTTTGATCTGTATTATCAAGATCATGATGGGTATATGACTTTCCACGCGAAGTGAGGTCTACTCCACTTCCTCCCCAATCTAGAAGAAAGTCGATGAGGTGAGCCTCGCTTCACATGGAAAGAACACCCTTAAGCAAAACAGAAGTAGGATGGATCTCTCACTTGGTGATTGGGATGAAAAATTGAACGCTCCTAGATGGGAGGGGAGAAGGGGGGGGAGGGAGGTGGACTTCTCTTCGCGTGGAAAGAATAGGTATAGGATAGTTTTTAATATTATATATGGTAAGAAGACATTATTTTTTAAACTTTATTTCTTAATAATTTTTAAACAAATAGTGATCCCCATCTAAAACCTTTCGAAGATCACTTATATGCATCATCCATCATGTACAAGGTGTCAGATACAAAAAATAATGAAATTTGAAATGTTGAAAATGAGTTTT